CAGTTTGGCTTTCAACCGGGTAGGAGTACCATTAATGCTTTTTATTCTACAACACAATTTATTTATGAAAAATTAGATAGTAATGAACAAGTTATAGCAATATTTTTGGACTTGGCTAAGGCTTTCGATACTGTAGACCATGGGGAATTGATTTATATTTTGCCAGGTTTTGGAATAAATGAGGAAAGCCTAAGCTGGTTCTCTAGCTATCTAGAAAATAGAACACAGTTAGTTTCAGTAAATAACGAATGAAGAATAAAAAAAGAAATTGATTGTGGTGTCCCACAGGGCAGTGTACTAGGACCAATTTTATTTATCTTATATATTAATACTATTTGTGACTTAAATACAGGTGGATTAGTGGTTACCTATGCTGATGACACTTGCCTTCTTTTTTCGGGAAAGTCTTGGGAAACTGTAAAGGAAAAACTACAATAGGTTTAAATAGAGTATTCCAAGAGTTAAACAATAAAAAAGGTGGGCAAGTGGGTGTCGCTCTGCTGTACAGTAGGTTACAAGTGGGTCACTGTATAATGGATGGTATTAAATTTGAATTCAATGATATAATATCATTGTATAAGAAAAACGATTCTGAGCGGTGACGGTATGTCAGTCTATGTATAAGACATATTATATACATATATCTATGGTATTAAACAAAAAATTGACCTATAATAGGTACCTATAATAAATTCCAAATTAATCATATCACAATATCCATTAGATACTTATAACACGTTATACATCAACAAAAACCGTGATACTATCATAGATATATAATAGTACACTTTAGAAGTTTCAAGTACCCACGAATAATATTATAGAATCACAACAAAATAACTAAAATAGTTATTCTAGGTTTTTTAATATGTAATTTCGTCCAAATTTGAATTTAAAATAAAAGATAAGTGTGTTCATATATTTTTTAGATTTTTTGGTTATAGTATGAACTATTTACGAGAACCTTTGTGTTGAATTTGCAATCCTTAGCTATAAAAACTGAACATTTTATAATTTATTAATTACAATGATTGATAATTTTCGAGATTTTGATAAATTTTGTCAAAATTTGATCTTTAAATGCTTATAAAAAAAAACTATGCGTATGTATTTTTAATATTTTTTAACTGCTATTGTAACAATATATCAGGAGCCTTGTAGTAAATTTTTACACTTTTTGGCCCAACAGATAAAACTTTATTGATATTTATAGAAAAAAAAACTAAAAAAAATTGAAAGCTGTAAATGTCCATAAACATCTCAAAAAGAGTCAAAATATTTTCAAAATTGTATGGTGTATAGAAAATGCTAATTTAAACATTGAGTGAAATTTTCATGTATCTACAGTTGTTCGTTTTTGAATTGCAACAAAATAAGGAAATCGCTACATGAGTAATCGAGTGAATATCCAATGTTGTAAAAATTTGAATTTCAAACGCTCATAAAAATTTAACTTGACTGTCCGGTAGAGATTTTTTTATTGATAAAGGTAGACAATCTTATCAGTAATCTTGTATTAGATTTTCAAATCTTAGATTTAAAAAGAAAAATTTTTACGAATTCTTAACTCAAAATAATTTGCTAATTTTCGTGATTTTTCCATATTTTGTCAATTTTTGAACTTTAAATGCTTATAAAAAAAAACTGTGACTAAGGATTTTTAATATTTTTCATCTGTCTTTGAAACAATATAGTAGGAGCCTTGTATTAAATTTTCAAGTATTTTTACTCAACAAATAATTTTTTATTGATATTCATAAAAATAAAAAATTAATAAAATTGGAAACTGAAAATGTCCCTAAACAGGGGCGTCATTTCAGTTTTTTTTCCGGGTGTGCAAGATTTTAGGCAGGCCAATTTTAACATTTAACCAGGCCAACTTTAACATTAATATTTAAACAATAACCATGCCGTTTAAAGTATTTAGTATTTATTTTATCAGCTATGCTATGCTTACTCCACTATAGCTGATACCAGCGGGCTGGCACGAACTGTCTTACATAATAAAACCACAGAATAAGACTCGCTTCACACGGTTATAAAATAGGGATACATTTGATAATAAAGCTGAAAAAAAAATTTAAATTACATGCATGAATCAGTGGCGCCAAAATATATATTTACTTTGCGTATGGTAAGGTAATTATAATAAATAGGTGGGTGTCAAAATTTTATGTGGAGGTGTCTAATGCCATAGTTAAAATTTTGGACTTCAGCGCCACTGGGCCAAGAATATTTTATTAATTTTTAATAGTAATCATATCGGCGCATAGGAGCATTAATGGAGGGCCAATTATTTAATCTATTATGTCAGTGGTGCCGTCGCACACCCTGCCCACCCCCAAATGACGCCCCTGTCCCTAAACAGTTCAAAATAAATCAAAATATTTTGAAAATTTTATCGTGTATAGAAAATGCAAATATAAACAACCACTGAAAATGTCATGTATCTACGGTCATTCGTTATAAAGTTACACAAAAAACCAAATTCGATTTTTTGGAAAATCGATTTTGCGTAAAAATTCCCGTTTTTCCTTAATTTTTATGTTGTTTTTCCCGGCGCTTGTGAAAACTACTGGGAAATGTTTACTTTTGACCCCCCAAAGTACCAACTAGATTCACTTTCCTATCAGAAAAGGTACTATTGAAGAAAATCGAAGCACTTTTACTGTCCCAAAACGTGATGACAGACACAAAAATATAAAAATATAAAAACACACATCATTGTAAAACCAATACATTCATCGCTCCGCTCAGAATCTAAAACTAACCTTAAATATGAAAAAAAACCAATTTTATTGCTTTCTCTATAAATAACACCATAATTCCCATAAATAATATTCTTATACATACATGTGGTAATATTAACTCTAATACTTGCAAATGTCAAGAAATAATAAGGGTAACACGTATAAAGTATTTGGGTGTTATTATTGATTCTAATTTAAGATGGAATATACATATTGATAGTAATGCGCTTGAGATCAGTTATTTTCAAATTCTATAAATTGAACAAAATTCTACCTATGGAAGTCATGCGTACTGTATATGAAGCTCTGTATAATAAGTCTATTATGCAATATGGCTTGATAATCTGGGGAGGATGTGCGGAAAATGCAATAAGACCTCTAATAGTACAACAGAACTCAGCGGTCAGAATATGTTTAGACAAAAAAGATAGACAAGGCTCATCTTCACTTAATTACAAAACTTTAAGAGTGTTGCCAGTTAAAGTACTGTATAAGTTTTTTGCAATTGTTAATATTTCTAAACAGTGTATATATAAATCTAAAAACAAAAGGGAATTCAGGGCATATGATATTAGTATAAAGAACACAAATAAACAATTCAGTCAAAGATTTAATGATTACTTAGGTCCAGTTATGTATAACTCTTTACCTTTAAATATTAAAAAAAATATTTTTGATCATTATACTTCAAAATCTAATAATATTAATAAGTTCATTAAAATAATTATTAAAAATTGGTTATTAAGTGAATTTGTGTAAATGAAAACTTTATTATAATATGTTATCTGTAAAACTTATTTTTAGTGATATATGTCAACTTGTAAAACTTTATTTTATTTTATTTTATTTTATTTACTAGTCTCTAAACTGTAACTCATTTAACCCACCACAAGCTTTGATTACTGGGTTAAATTAATCAAGGTGTAATTTTTTTCATATAATATGTCATAATATGTAATGTACGATTTGATCAAATAAAAAAAAAAAAAACCTGTTCATAGTGAGCCGTGCATTTCTGAAATAGAACATCATAGTACACTCGATAATATTTCTGATGAACTATGTCCTCTTCATCAGTTTTTATGTTCATGGAGTATTGGTATATCTACTGAGATTGAAAATCTAGCCTTGAAGAATGTTCAACTACCTGATGTATTACATTTAAATGTAGGTAGGTATTGATGGTTTACCAATATCAAAGAGTACATCAGATGAGTTCTGGTCAATATTAGGTTTATTTACAAATGTACCAGAATCAAAAGTATTCTTAATAGGCATTTTTCACGAAAAACCAAAGCCTAAAATATCTAATGAATATTTATCTGATTTTGTAAATGAAAGTATACTATTAATTAATGAAGGAATAATTATTGGTGAACGACTATTAAAAATTAAATTGAATGCGTTAGTGGCAGATGCTCCTGCTAAGGCCTTTTTATTAAACATTAAGGGCCATAATAGTTTTGATTGTTGCTCTAAATGTTATGTTAAAGGATTTTGGCTGGGAAAAGTTTATTTTCCCACAACTGTTTCAACATTAAGTCATGAAATTTTTAAGCTGTACAGCGACCATGATTACCATAAGCAACCTACTATTTTGGATCAAATACCAGGATTTTCTTTAGTGGATAATGTGGTTCTTGACTACATGCATTTAGTATTAGAAGGTGTGGTTCAAAAAATCATAAGATATTGGATCAGTACAAAACATCCAACTAAGCTACACACTGGACTAATTACAGTCATGAATGAACGGCTTTCCCGGTGTGCAATTTATATACCTACCGAATTTCAAAGATCTGCAAATGTAAATTCAAGAACACATCCATTTAGTCAAGCTAACCGATGGAAAGCAACAGAAAGTGGACAATTTTTATTGTATACTAGTATTTTGTGTTTAAAAGGGTTAGTGTCAAGCACTATAATGGAACATTTTTTTTACCTTAAGTATTGCGATGTGAATTCTTTTGTCTCCTACATTAAACTTGATAAATAATGAATATGCAGACAGGTTATTGTGCCATTTTGTTAAGCAATTTTAATATAGGTAGCACTGTACTAATTCTTTTAGAGTCCTAAAGGTTTTACGCCGAACAACGAAGTATCTACCGTCAATTAATTGTTGGATTCGGAAATGTCTGACATTAACACCATAGCGAACTATAAAATATATATGAAGTAAAAACACAAATTCAAAATAGGTCATCAAAACTTATCTTATATAATAATAATAATGATAACTATATGATACTAACCAGACAAAGAGTATTTATGACTTGTATTGAAAGTATCTCTAATTAAAAACGCTCCATTCAATGTTTCTGGCAAAATCAAAAGTTCCTCGGCTTCATAACGAGTGATGTTCCCAAAATAATACGGCTCGAATTTTATGTAATTATTATAATCTCCTTCATTACTGAAGTTGGGTAAAGGCACCAGGTCAGGTACTGCAGTTGGTACTGGCCGGTGCTTTTTTCCAACGTTGGAACGGGAGTTTGACTTTAAACAACTGAAAAAGCAGCCCATTGTGACTAGGCGCTGCGTTACAGTTATCTCTTATGGAAATAATAGGAATAACAGTATTCAACGATTATCAATATCGATAATTTTCTAAAAATAGAATTGTTATTGGGGATTTCCTTTTTTCGGGGATATTATAAATCATAAATATCTTAAAAGACAATGCAATTGTTACCACTAACATAACCACGGTATCTCGAAAACTTCCCGCCAAAGTATTAACATCCACTATATTATCATGGCTGAATAATTTCATATAACATTTGTCATAGTACTATTTTAAATTGCTTCGAAAAAAGATATTTTTTGACGATCCCAAATATCGTAACCGATATTTACCACATTGATCTATGATGAGACTTTGGCGCGTCCAAACGTTATCTCCGACACCTTATCAATTTTAACGAATTGTGGTGAACCAGTGGCTTATAACCATGTACTTACAATATTTTGGTAGTAATTATTTTTTGAATATAATAAAACGGTAGATTTTACTAATAAACGGTAATTTTACCAGCAAGTTTTTGAACATAACGCTATAAAAACTTTTCTTTATTTTTCCCAAGTCTATGATGTTATTTTTTCCTGGTAGAACGGATTATAACAAAAATTATTATGTGCAATTTGTATATGTACTTAAAATATTTTGGTAGAAGTTTACCGTTGGAAAATTTTTATCAACCCTAAGACCGAAATAATGGGGTAAAAATTACGTTATTTTGGATCGTCACAAAATATTATTGTTCGTAGTAATTAAAAAATAAAATAACTATAGTACTATGACAAAAATCATAAGATGTCATCAGATGACTTTTTTCCAGGGCTTAAAACCGTTTACCGGTTTTTCACGAAAACCATTAAAAACCGTACATTTTGAGAACCCTAAACCGATTATCTAATTTATCTGTAGTTTGGAAAGCGGATACTGGTAATCGATTAACAAAAGTTTATAAAGTCATATCCCAAAAACCAATTATCAACATTTCTGAAAACCGTTATTTTAGCGATACCCGGTAACCAGTACAATGAGGAAAAAAAAAATTTGTTGACATTTCTGAAGATATGAAACATAAGATGGTGTCTTTGAAAGTAGATGGTGTTTCAAGACATAATAAGTCATTTTTGGGAGTTAAAGTTCAGTATATGCACAAAGATACATTAACTTTAAAAATTAAAACCTTGTCGATTTTTGAGCTTGTTGAACGCCGTTCTTCAAAATACTTAAAAGATACTGTAAGATATACAAATATTAAATATTAATTGAATCATTTTTACATACCTATTTAATATTTTGCTAATTTATTATAATCCCCTGCTTTATCAGTTGCTTGATGTTATCAGTAAATATGGACTAACTAAATATCAAATATATTCAATTACAAGTGATAACGCCGCTAATATGCTAAAAATGACTGATTTAATGAAAATCGATCCAGATGAAGAAACAGGTAATTTATTGATTTAGATATATTTAAAAGTTATATACCAATCACAATAAATAATGTATACTGTATAAGTTATAGATTTGGGACTTGGGTATACTGTATTGTTACTATACACTTATACAAGATATATTATTATATATTATAGTATATTTTTATACAGTGGTAAAAAATAAATATTGGTTTTATTCTATACATACTTGTCACTTGATATGAAATATGTATTTCTTTTTTAAAAAAAATATTATTTTTCTATTTTTCATTAAAATGAGGTAATTGATGCTATTTGTCCAGAAGTAATTACTTCAAAAGTAAGATGTGTAGCACATACTTTAAACTTGGCTATTGGAGAGGGACTGAAAATTCAAAGTACCTATCCGTGGTATTTTTGCACGAGCAAGAATGGTAATTAGTTTAAAATATTTAACTTCAGATTGAATTACCTATATTAATTAATTAATTTTAGGTTGTTAAGAAATTACGAACGCCAATTTATGCAGGATTACTTAAACAAGAAAATAAAAAACAAGCCATTCGTGATGTGGAAACTAGATGGTCATTTGTATATGACATGTTATATCGACTTCTTGAACTCAAGGATTTCTGTTTAAAATTTCAAGAAACCATGAATGATTTAAAACTATCTTTGCCTGATTGGGATAATATTGAAAAAATGGTAATAAAATTAACATTGTCTATTATTATTTAACATGTAATGTGTATATCATGAAGTATGGTTCATCCAATAACTGATTTTAAGTACTTATTATTTTAATATACTTTTTCATTTTGTAAAATGTAATTACCAAAACATAGTAAATTTTATTATGCTACAGGTGGCTGCACTAGAACCTGCAAAAATAGGACTTGTTTCTTTACAAAAAAGTGATATAACCATTGGAGATTTCTTTGCAATTTGGTGGAATATATTAGCAAAATTACAAAAAGTAGATAGTTTATTATCTCGAGCAATAATAATTGCTATGAACCGTAGAAGTATATTAATGTTTGAAGAACATATATTTTCTGCAGGTTTGTGAAAACAAAAATAAAAATACTATCAGAAGTAATATGCAATTTAAAACAATTAAAATATACTACTTTTATTTCCAGTAATTTATTTAGATCCTCGATTTCAAAGAATGCTTACTATAGATCAAAAGTCGATTGCTAAAAATCACTTAAACAATACATGGAATGCAATGAAATATATTTCTGAAAAAATTGTCAATAATGATGTTGTTGAGGCAACCAATGATGGTACTAACTGTGAAATAAATGAACTAGATGAACTTGAAGTGTATTAAGTTCTCAAGGCAGCAGATCGTGCCCTGAGGTTGGAAATAATGATATTCGTTCAAATAGAGTTATTATTGAAGAATACGATAATGTGTCTCGACTTCATCATAAATGCTCTGTATTAACATTGGTCAGAAAACAAGAATAAAAAACCAGAACTATTTCAGTTAACACAAGTTGTAATGGCTGTTTCATGTACACAAGTAATAATATCAAATTTATGACACCTATTGAACTATAATTTACATTGTATATGTATATTTTATAGGTGACTGTAGAAAGAACCTTTTCTGGATTAAAGTACATTTGCAACGATCTAAGATCATCAATATCTTCTCATTTACTTGATGATATTATGGTCATTCGAGGAAATCATAACTAATTTGTATTATTATATTTACAGTTTTTTTTAATTTTAAATATTTTTTCTATATTTAATATTTATCAAGGTTGATATAAAAGTAAGTTTAGATATTTAGATAGCCGTGCCTTCGATAATTCAGCTCTGATGTAAGCGTGATAGATAATATGATAAGACAGTATGAATATGATGGTGATGAAAAAAAAAACACACATTTCAAATGTCTTGATATCATACTAGTATAACCATTTATATTCAATTACAAACAATATAAATAAAGTGTTATTAGTTATTCTATGATGCATCCAAGGTTTGTATCTATCATGATGGAACCGCTGTTTGGTTCGCTAGGTTATGATGAATTAAAAAACGCAATCTATCACAAGCAGCGTAGTTTTGCGCTGAATTAAAAAATGACAATTTAAAGTTTCTGACCAAACGTTACGGCAGCGCTGAATTATCGAAGGCACGGTAACTCATATAACGACTTAATGAAAAGTGTAAACACATCATAATAAATAATTCATAGTTGATAACAAAAATGAAAAAATGTGATGTGAAAAGCGGTATTTAAACCGCTTAAAATTGGTAAGCGATTATTTAAATATTTTGGAAACCGTTAAAAATCGGTCACTGGTAATTACTTTTTTATTGTGGTGTAAGGTACCCAGTAACCGGTAACCGGTAAACGGCACTTCTCAGAAGAAGATAACTGGTAACCGGTTCTTAAAAAAATTTCGGCTCCTAACGGACCCGATTACCTATAATATGGGAAACGGTTTTAAGCCCTGCTTTTTTCACTTAAAAATTCCATGTGACGTTATAAACTGTAATTACTATAACCATAGTTAACTACTCCAATAGTGAATAAACTGTGCTCATAATTTATAATTAGTTTGCTTAGCTAACTTAACTTACATTTCATTTTTTTTTAATATATATTACACCACTTTTGATTGTATATATTATATTATTATGAATAGCTTGACTATTTTAAAAGTTCTGTATTATATATTATTTTTGTAAACCTTAACTACATTTGAGTTAAACTATAGGTGGTACCTACCACAATACATTTATTTAAATTGCCTTTTTTTTATGTATTCTATTGGTTACAAATTGTAAAAATATTAATATATATGTATATATATATACTGTTATATTGAACCAGATCAACAAAAACAACATTTAACGTATTCTTCTTTATCAACACTGAAATAGTGTTACATTATACTTTGACATAATTACATTTATTATACATACATCACACACAATAGTATTACGGCATTTTACTCATGACAATATTTTATATATATGTAATATTGAGATTTTAAATAACTATTGACTTTTTTTTGTACAAAAATGCCAAATTTGCCAAATTGCCAAATTTCAGGTTATTTCATATTCGGCATAATAATAATTCCGCTTCTTTTTTTCCTTATGAAAAACAAAGTAACTCCACTAGAAATGCCTTTAAAATGCATTATAAAATGTCGTATCGACCAAATTATTGTCAAATACTAGGGAAATACGCAGTAGGTGCATATAGCATTTCCTAGAGAATAAAGCAGTCAGGGGCGGACTGGCAGATCGGGAGATCGGGAAATTTCCCGATGGGCCGGTCGAATAATCGAATTATGGGGCCGGACAATTTGGTTGTACAAGTAACTTATTACAATTTTTAGATTATAATAAGAGTTTATCAGTTTTTGGTAAATTTAAAATCTATAGAATATAACATAAATAATACGTTAATACGATATAATCGTACCTTAATATAATTTTGCTTTTCTAAGAAACATACGAAACATAAGGTATTTATATAAAATATAGAAATTACGCTGCCGCCTGCCGGCCGCCGTCCCCGTGTTGTTTATAATATACGATAACGATATATTATTAATTCGATGTATTATTGTTGTTAGTTGTTATATAATTTAAAAATATACTGTTTTCGTCCGGGACTAACAACACTGTCGTCTGTGATATTATATAAAATATAAATATTACTTATTAGTTCATTTGTATTTTGTATTGTCAAGTGGAAAAATTACTTTCGAAGCAATGTTTACGATCATAACCTCAGCTTTTTAAAGGTAAGTCAAATAAATTTTTAAATAATATATTATTATAATTTATTGTAAAGAAAGTAAAGTTATTGTTATAAGGCCTATACATTTTAATCTATATTCAATTATTATTAAAAATTGGTTAAATGGTTTAAAATATAATAGAATTATTAGTTTTAGAGGCCTATCCGGCTATCCCCTATTAGGTATTTGAATTTTGAATCCCACCGTGTGTTGTTGTTTTGTCGTTTTTAAATTGAATTATTCTTAATTCATATTGTTACGGTTCCCTAAGACCACATATTTTATATTTTTCTATAGTATTTGAATAAAAATGCTGATAAAAACCAAGGCTCTGCATCCAAACGTAATATTTTTAGATTATTATTAACAAATAATAATTTAACTCTACCTTTTGTTATTTATGTTATTCAATTATAATTTATGTATTTTATATTATAACTATAATATAAAATATAATTTTATTTACATGATAAATTACTATTGAGTTATATTATATATTGAGGTTCTTCAGTAATAAAAAGAGAAAAACTTTAAAGTTTATATAGAGAATTTCAAATATTTTTTACTCTTAAGTGTTTTATTTAAAATTATGGATAACTAAACATTATAAATAGTAAATGTTCAATATGGTTTTATTTAACACTATAAAAAGTAAAAAGAATTATGATACCTATGTAGCTTTTTAGTGTTTGTACGCCACAGAAGGAAAATATACTTTTGTACTGGTTGACGATTACCGATTAATAATATAAAAGAAATATACCTATTGATAGCAAATAGGGTAATAGGGTATTGATGTCCATCAAATTTCTAAAATGTTTTATTTATCTTCTGTTAGTATTAATTATAATTTAAATATTCAACTGAGAAAATGTCTGGTATTTCAAACGTAAGTGCTGCAATAGTGTATTAGATTAGGCCTTAGACAATATGTCAATATAATGCTTAAGTAGTTCCGGCAGGCGGCAACGCCATCGATGTTACAAAAAAAGACCTTAGACAATGGTTTATGGGCGATGGGCCGCTTGAAAAAAAATTCCCGGGCCGCTCTGAAGGAGCCAGTCCGCCCCTGAAAGCAGTATATCCAATGGAGATACTGCTTATTTTACTAGTATAATAATTTCTCAATGTAAATACTGCATATTTACCTAGTAATCTTATCTAAAACGGATTTGCAGTATGTCCACTTTATTTTTTAATCAGTGAATGGTCATGTCTAGATAGTGTGACTGTCACACACGCCATTTACCAAATGTTTTGGTCAAAAGCATTTATTGAGATTTGTCAGACAGGTACCTTGGTACTAACTTCAATTATTATGTGGTTATGATTATTTTAATATTTGTATTACTATCACTTAGTCAGTAAACACAAATTTTTAAATGCATTTTTTCAAATATACAAATTTTTAAATGCATTTTTTCAAGTATACAAATTTTTAAACAATTAGCTCAATTTTAGTACAATGACTTCAAAGCAACGAATCGCAAAGTTGATGAAAAATGTCAAACCTGCAGGTATGTTAAAACTTAAAAGTATTTGAAATAAAATATAAGCCAAAAATTGTAGGTATATTTATTATAACGTATTACCGTAATTTTTTTTTTAGATCAAAATTTTGTAACTGCCACCACTACAACGGTTTAAAACGAATTAAAACGTTATACAATTTTTGCGTTTAACGTTATTCATAATTAAAACGTTATACAATTTTTGCATTTATCGTTATTTAAAATTTAAAAGCATTTAGATAGGTACCTGTTTTAAAAGTACACAGGAAGCAATTTAAAAGTACACAGGAAGCAATTTAAAAGTATATGACTTTGACCTTTTTTGGGGACATAATTTCCCTATTCTGAGTTTTAAGTAGGTATTGTGAAATTTTATTTATTTAATTAAATGGATTAGATAACCCAATTACATATTATTTACAAAATATAGAGTACAGTGGTCAGTGATACAGATTAAATTACAATATACCTACATAGTTCGTAAAGAAATGGAAACAAAATAAATGATAAAACAGTATGATGATAATTATTCTAAAGTTATAAATAATAATGTTTTATTGAATTTAATAAATTGCCTAGGCTCTAAGGACTTTATTATAAATTAATAAATATTAAAAAAAAAATCATGATCATTATTTTGAAATTTTGAATGTATTATTAGGTTTTTAAATGTTAAAATGATTTAGTAAGTTTTACAATATTGTGCTTGAGAATATCATTTAAGCAGGAATCTATGTTTCAAACATATTTTACTCTGATTGTTTTGACACACTTTGTTAACATTTATTTTATACCTTCCTACAATTGACAAAATAATCAGAATCTATAATTTATATTGTTAAAAGTTAAATAATATGTATTGGCAATATAAGTGTGTACATAGCTAATTTATACTATCTAAATTATACTTATTACCATATTACCATTATTAAATAGAACATTCACAAACAACAAAATAAATACCAATGTCTAATATCAATGTGTAATATATTCATGAATACATTTAAAAACAAAATAATTTATACATTTTAAATGTTATTGATTGTTTCCTCTGATAATTAATATGTCTTCTAATATATCACTTGAAATTGAACTTCTCAAATCTGACAATATAAATTTTAAGGCTACGTTTATTATACGTTTACGTTTAATTTTAAAAGCTACTTTCAACACTAACCTAAAAGACAAAAAATATATAAGTCAAAAATATATAATTATAATTATAAATAACTAATACTAAAAGTTGTATTTAGTGTTCTAACTTCTAAGATAAATAAACTATCTTATTTACGAAATGTATAAAACTTTTATAATAGCTTAGCTTAGTGTAACCCAGCAGGTTATTGATTTTATAAAAAAATACTAATTCTTAATAATTGTGTCAATAAAGTTAATAAGCATACTTGTGTTGCTGGTA